TCTTGTAATAGTGTCAGTAAAGAAACGTTTAATGGAGTTTTCATCACCATCTTTCTTTTCTTCAGTCAATGTTTCTATGGCAGAATCAAATTGTTCTTTTTCAGTTTCTCTGAACATCAGCGAGTCTTTGGCTAAAACCCACACAGCCAAACTGTTGCTTAGTAAGCTGTAATGCAGTATCGAGAAGACATCTTTAAAGAAGATCGCCTCCACATCAGGATAGGTTAGCGGCTTAGGCAATGACATTTCTTTTTCAATCATGCCGTATTTGAAGACCAAGCGATCTCCTAAAGCACGTGCTCGTCTACCATCAGATACTAACACAGCCTCTTGTGGTCTCCCTGTGTTGATTAGCACAGTCGTGAGGACCTTATAGGTTTCATTGAATTTATCAAAAATAGAGACTTTGAATTGATCCCGTTGATGGAGATGTTGAAACAAGAAGTCAAAACAATCAAGTGCTTTTCTCAGGTATTGTTCTGATTTAGCTATATTATTATCAGTATTATGACATGCTTGATGTCCCTGGTTTTCATCTTTGTGTAATGAATAGTATATTTCCCCTAAATTAGAGCATGCAATACTCTCAAGATCTTTCTTGCCGATAGTCTTGGCGATGTCAAGGCATTTCTCCATCAAATGGATTGCAGTTTGTAAATGAGGTCCATGGCAAAGAGACATAGAATGATATATATTTGCCTCACGAACTTTGTCATTTATTTCCTTAGCAATGAAAAGACTMTTTTTGTAGAATTCATTTGCCTCTTCGAATCGGTGTAATTCCCTTAAACAATTTCCAAGATGTTTAAAAAGTTGATCGCTTGTGATCTTTTATCACCAATTTCTATAGAAATTTCTAAGGATTATTTGAAAATTAGCATAGCTTCTGAATATTTTTTATGATGATTCATCAAAACATCTCCCAAGAAGCTACCATGACATTTTGCTTGCAGACCTTTATTACCGATCTCTTTGCTGATAGTAAGACTTTTCTGGTACAACTCGCTGGCTTTATCATAATCATTCAAGCTTGAGTATATACTTCCCAAATTAAGTAAGTCACTCGCCTGTTTTTCTTTTCTACCAATTTTAACGAGACTTTCCTCTAAAAGACGAATTGCATCATGGTACTTTCCTTGCACCTGATATTATAATGACCCCTAATCCTTCTTCATAGTCATTCAGTTCTTTGTACAAATCAATCGCTTTTTTATGGCACTTAATACTACTTTGATAGTCACATAGGTTATAGTAAGCGCAACCAAGACGTCATAGGACAATGCAGTCTTGAGATATGATTATCATTATAATCGTCACTATTTTGTTTATTTCACTCTACATTAGGCCTTCCCATGATCTTTTGACGCCCGTTGTTGCAATGGAATGCCCGGACAAGAGACCTGGTAACCAGTTTGTCACTGCGTTACTTAAGTGTTGGAGTGTAGAGTATTCTAGTGAGCTTGCGCAGCTTGCTAGTCAACAGATTAGTAAACA